TTTTCCTTATCTTCTTCTAAACCCCAAAGTCCAAATCCGCCAAACTGGCAACTCTTTCTGCAAAGGTATTATGAAAACCTCTAAAAGATTAATTGCATGTCTTCAGGTGACATTAAATTAATTTCTGCACTCATGACAGACACTCGATACTCGCACTGAGAGGACAGATAACATTGTCAGGACACACAGAAGGACAGCAGTTGGGCCCCGGGCGGCCTCCTGTGAACTCTCTTCCGATAAGGCCTGCTCCGCTGTCACGGGCACGTGCTCCCAGGGCCCCGCCCTCCCGCACCGGTTCCCCGCGCCGGCCCGGCTCCCCTGTGATCGTCCCCTGCGATCGTCCAAAAGCTTAGGCAGAGCCCGGACCACAGGCAAGGCGCCGGCTGTACGTAGTTCCTAAACACGGATTATGTCAAAATAAAATGTTTCCCACCCCCCCCAAAGAGCTCAGCCCTGCACACATCGCCTCTCCCACCTCTTCAGAAACAGCCCGAGAAGAGCCCCATGCAGCAGGGAGGGAAGAAGCCGACACTTCCAGTCCCACCCGCAAAACACGCTCAGGGGACCTCTGCCTGCAATGTGTCGGTGGTCCCCACCCTGAGACCGGGGCGCGCCTGGGGCCAGCGGCTCTCCTGCGGGGCCATCTGTCTGGCCCCCACTTCTATGTGTGGCCCGCAGCACAAAGGAATGTTTACTTCACTTGCTGCCAAGCTCTTGAAACTGTCATCCTCTCGACTAGAATGAGGCAGTGAATTCAGAACTTTCATTGCTGAGAGAACCCTGTGGCTGCCCCTCTATATAAATAGAACAGACTCTCCCTTAAACCACAAGAAAAGTGTGGTAACCTTTACTGAGCTACTACCATGTGCTGGGACATTTGAGCCTTTTTAATCCTCACAACCACCTGGGAGGAAGCCAGCCCCATCCATCTTCCTGAGGAGGGACAGATAACCACAGTTACACCGACGCACAGGAGACCACCACGCAGACCCAACGAATGGGGGGAAGGGTCCCCGTTTCCCCTCAGTGGCAGGACAGAGCTGCAGGCCTAACTAAATCCCGTGAGAAAGGCAATTCCTGTGGCCCGCGCTTGTCCCAGTCCCTTTCTCTGAGCTCAGCCCCGAGGAACAGCCGCCGGGGCGGCGCACGCACAGAGAGCCGCCGTTTCGTAGCTTACCCTGCTCCCTTAGCATCTGAAGCGTTTTTCTGGACTACACGTTGACTACAAAAAAACTATAATTAAACAAGGTTGCTTTTTCTTATTTCTTCTGAAATTAAATACGAGTAGCTTCATATGAAATGAGCAAGTGGAGAAAACTGTCCCATTTCAAGAACTACACAGAACGCGCCCCACGATTCCCTAGGCAGAGCACCCGCAAGGGCGGGCAGGGGCGCCGTGGCAGCGGCGCCCGCGCACAGCCCCTGCAAAGCAGCCTTCGTCTGCTCCCCTTGAGATCTCACCTGACAAAGCTAGACAATAAAACACATGTGGAAAAAACACTCACGTTCACACAGGTAAGAGACTGATGAGCAGTGTAACAAAAGGTCTCTTTAAATTTCAAATCTCCTAAGGTCCTTGCCCGAAGTCTCAGGTGTGAGATGAAACCTCGCTCAGCCACAGAGAGCTGCTCCGAGACACGGCTGCAGCGCACAGCAAGTCCCGGCCACACTCAGCCAGGACACAGACCGCCACCGCCTCCCGAGGCCGGCGGCCCGGTGGCCGCGGGGACGCTGCCGGGGTGCCGCGCGGGGCCCCAGAGCTGCGGTGATGGGAAACCGCCGCCCCCGCCCCCGCCCGGCCGGGCCCCGCTGCCGCTCCGAGCCTCTGAGCCCTCCCGGCACGCCCCCGTCGGCCACCGGCGGTGGGGGCGGCCGGCACAGCGGAGCGCAGCCCCCATTCTAGAAGCCCCGCTCAGTCTCTGACCAACCCTGACAGCGGTGGAATCTCATGGAGACAGAGTCTTGCCCTTCCTGCAGGCATACCGGCGCGATCAGGGAAAGCGGCGGTGGCCGCCACCGTCACCACCAACAGCCAGGAGCACAGGGCCCAAAGGCCTTGCCCCGCAGGCGTGGCCAGCAGCCGGGTGGCCCTGGAGTCGCACCCACCTGCCATCAGCAGGAGGGACAAGCGGCCCTGCCTCCCAAGGGTGCTGTGAGTGCCCGAGGACACTGGGCGCAGCGGCCACCGCGACTGCCAGAGAGTACGGAAACCGCAACACAGGTTTCTAGAAGGACCTCGGGGGCATTCTAGAAGGAAAGCGGGCATTTATGAAGTGCCTTCTGTGAGTGAGAAGGCTGCATGTACTCATCCCTCACAGTGACCTTAGTAACCTCGTTCAGCCTGGAGGCCGAGGTTCAGTAAAATGAAACGACTATTCGGGGTCCCAAGGACAATCATAACAGACAACCATCCACATGCTTCCTCCTCCAACGCCACCGTCTCTCCGTGCCCCGGCGGCGTGCACAGATGCGTGCTCCGTGTCCTGGCGCGGGAGCTTCGGCATGCCCCGTGACCAGGACTCCCTTTCCGAATGGCAGGCGACAGGATTCGACAGGGAGCCGGGAGAGAGAAAGCGTGACCACAAGCTGCGATCCCAGACGACCACGGCACCCATGACTGTGGGAACCAACACTGGGCAAGAAGCGCAGCAGTCCTCTGTGGCACGCCTCCCGTGTCGCGATGCTCTCACTGACACCAAGGGGAAGGATGACGAGGGTAAACAGACGTCACGTCGACGACTGTCAACGCAGAGGCAGACTCCAAAGCCTGTCTGAGGCTCTGACTTTTCCACCTGCACAGCGCACAGGCGGACCTCCCTAACGCGAGGCCCCGGCAGCACAGACGTCCCGCGGCTCCCAGCCCGGCCCGGCTCCGGCCGGGTCCCCGGCTGGCCCAGGGCATTAAGGCCACAGCCAATGGGGGAAGAGAGGGACCAGCAGGGACAGGAAGAGACATCGGAACAGCGGCACACAGAAAACCCCTAAAACAACAGCTGCCTTTTGTGTCACGTGAGATAAGCACCATTATGCATACGCTCTCTTAAATATAGTTCCTGCCCGCTGACCCCCACCCCCGCCCAGCCCCGGGGAAAACGCCACCTACCCAGGTTCCAAGAGGCGCCGGCGGGCATGCAGCCCGCCGTCGGGAGTGGCCGCCCTGCTGCTGGGGGAGCTGGCACCACCAGTCCCCATGGCGATTTCGGGCGTGCTGGTCGGCTGCCTTACTACTTAAGAATTAGAATGCGCTGAAAAGGTACTCCCACGTTTGGCAGATAGCTATTTTCATGTAAAATTCCCCTGTTGTTTTTCTGTGTATTATAAAATTGAATAGCATGGTTTTAGAATACAGCCCCCTATAAAAAAATTTTTTTTTCCGTTGTAAAAAAGACAGCAAAAAGTTAAGGCGGTAAGTTCTTTGAAAGGAAAGGTGCCGGCAGGTTTGAACACGTCCCTGGACAGCCGCGCCGTGCCCCCGCTGGGCCCGCCCGTGTCCTGCCAGCGCGGCCCGCACTGCCCGCCGGCCGCAGCCCTGCTCGGCAGTCACGGGGGCCACAGGGGAGGCTGGTTCCCGACCTCGGCCCGTGCCCCTCCTTTTAAAACCAAGAAGAAAAGTGCGACCCCGACAAAGCGTGCTTAACACAACACCCAAAGCCAAAGGCCACAGACCCTGGAAACCACCCGTGTCCTTGTCGACAGGTAACACGTTCATGACAGCACAGCAGTTTGAGGGCACAGGCCTGCTACTAATAATCAACATTCGAATCACGGTGGACAGAGTTGAGAAAACGCAGATTCAAGTAAAACACAATTATGGGTCCTACTGAATATGGAATTTCCAACTCATACTATTCTACAAAGAATTTTCTCATAGCATGTGGAAAACTACCATATTTTGCCACGTATTACGGGCACTCTTTTGCCCAAATTTTTGAGGGAAAAATAAGGATGCACATCATACACGCAGAGTACTAGTTCTGTTTCTGTATAAATGTTTTTCATCCTTTTATTTACGCATATGCGTTAAAAATGTAACTCTAGAAAGCAGTAACAGTATCTGTATGCAAAGTAACACCCTGGAATATGACAATTATTTTTGTTTCTAGATATAAATAAGTAATTAACTGGATTTAAAAACAGATTTTTCCCCTGAAAGTCTTGGCCAAGAACGTGGGTGCACATTACACACGGGAGCACCTTACATGCGGCAAACTACGCTACTTTTCAGCCCACAACCTAGAAATAAAAGCAGTTCCTGCTGCCCTAGGCAAGCAGCGCACGAGGAGGGGCCCTGCACCGGCACCTTCCCGGCCCTGCGGGCGCCCACCCCGCCCACCCTCTCGGCGTGCCCTCTGAGCACGCCCAGATGAGCACGCCCTCTGGGGAGCGCTGAGGCGGGGACAAGCCGGCCGCTGGCAGGCGCTACAGGACCCCGGGAGGGGCGTGCTCCCCCCTCCCGCCTCCCAGAGGGACCCCGTCTCCACGAGCACCTGCCTGCAGGCCCATGCGAGCCCTGAGCTGTCCGCTGGCCCCAGAGGCAGCAAAGCTCTGCCTTGCCTGCGGAGGCCCCACGGCAGCCCTGCCACGGGGAGACAGGCCGCGGCAAGCGCCCCGCCACCAGGTGGCAAGCGGGGCAGCCAGCGCGCTCCCCCGCTGCGCCCCAGAGCTCACGGCATCTGCAGATGCACGCAACGGGCTGCTTGCTCCATGGGAAAGGGAATTTTATGTTTAAAACACACTGGACGGCTCCACCCCAGGGTACCTACAGAAAGCTGCTAACACTGAGAACGGTCTAAGGGAGGGATCGTCACGAGGTTGCCCGCCGAGACCCAGTGACCACGGAGCGCTGTGGGGAGCAGGGACAGGTGGCTCTCCCACTGGCTTCCAGCCAGAGCGCAATCCCGGGCGGTGCTCGGTGCGGGAGCCCCCTGACCTCCTTCTGCTGCACGCCCGCTCTGGGAACAACGCAGAGACCCTGGGGGCATGGTGACCTCTCCACTTACCCCTCCTGACAACTTAACCACCCTGACTTTGGAGCTGATGTGTGGCCCATCGCCGCTGCCGCTGTTTGCCCGGTGCATGACAGTCCTTTTGGCGCTGGGCTTGGTGTCCGGCGGCCTGCCCTGGAGGGACGTCCCTCGGGCAGGCTGTGCTGGGGGCGGCGCGTCCCCGTCCACAGGCTGTACCGGCAGGACTTTGTGTCTCAAGTGTTTCAGGGGCTTCCCCGGTTGTCCCGAGTACGGCATGCTAGCACCAGACGGCACAAAGTTGGACGCTTTGGGCTGAAGGTTTGAAGGAGCAGCATCCTGGTTCTTCACGAGAAGCCTGTTCTTCACGTGCTGCCGGACCTGGGCCCCAGGGAAGGGCAGTAACGGGCTCCCGTTGGCGGGCATCGGGGGCAGGGCCGCCAGCTGCTCCTCCCGCTCTGCGGGGGCCACAGGGGCGCCGAGGTGCTGCTGCTGCTGCTGCTGCTGCTGCTGCTGCTGTTGCTGCTGCTGCTGTTGCTGCTGCTGCTGCTGCTGCTGCTGCTGCTGCGCCAGCCGCTCCAACAGCTCCTTCTTCCGGGCCCCGGCCTGCTGCTGCCGCCGCAGCTCCTTCTGCTTCAGGATCTCCTCCCGCAGCCGCTTCTGCTCCTCGATCTTCAGGCGGTACAGCCTCGTCTCCTCGTCCTCGTCGGGGAACTGGAACAGAGAGCATGCACCGTTTACTGGGCAGGGCCGGGCCAGGCCAGGTGGCCGTTCCCATCATTTCTAACCACCCCGAGAAAGCAAAATTCACAAACCCTTTCGTTCAAAATTTGAAAGACGCTCTTCAATAGCTGCTTATAGACTTTAAGTATAACCCCTTCCTTCGGGGGCGGGGGGACAAAAATTACACAGCTAAAGCTGATTTGGAAAATCTTACCGGGATATTAAAAACGAAAGGATATGTATTTCCATTTACAAGCCTGAACCAATTAAACCGCTGGTTTAAGATACCAAAGCATGTTCTGAATGGACGTGGCCACCGCAGGGGCCACGCTGCCACGCAGGCTTTATCTGGCTCGGCTCTGACGGACCAACAAAAGGTGGGTGTAAATGACCTGAAAGGGCCTGATTAGAACTATTGATTTTTCGTACAGAATTTCAGCCTGATCTCAAACTCATTTGTCACAGAATAATTGGTTGTAATGAACAGCACAAGTCAATCTCTCTGACCTTGAACTCGTGCACTCTCCTCTGAATCAAGATGCTGCCAAAGGCAGTACTGGAATATTAATGGTGCACATGGAAAGCCTTCATGGTCAGCCCCACGCCACTCAGAAAGGCTACCAAGTCCAGTCCCTTTCATCGAAACCATGAAGCCAGGAAAGCTGATTAAGAGTTAAGCATTTGCTAAAAATTATGATTATTTTTTCTTAAATCATAGCTATACTCAATCCACAGATCCTTCACAAAAGAACATAACAAGATTTAATCTAACTAGAGGTCAGGAATTAGTAAACCTTAAGAATCAGGAATTAAGACCAAAACGCAGCGGAAGACCCCGCCGGTGCCCCCAGAGCCCGTGCCCCTGACTGCGGGGTGGAGCTGGCCCTCCCTGGGGCCCGCTGTCCTTTCAGAAGCACCCTGACCCAGCGGGCTACCTAACTGCAGTGGCGGGCAGACGCGAGACAGCGCAGCTGCAGGTGGGCGAGGGGGCCCAGGCAGGCGGGAAAGCGGACAGCGTGCGCACAGCACAGGGCCCGGGCCCGGTGCGGGGGAGGTTGGTGGGGGCCGCTGGGGGCGCAGAGAGGTCCAGAACCCAGGCTCCAGCTGCAGGCCCCGCCCCTGAGACGAGCCCCAGCCCCTGAGGAGCTCAAGCATGTTCACCAACACAGGTGGGAGGCTGAAGCTGGTGGACAGGTTTGTCTTTCACAGTATCAGTATCAATTGGGTAAATGTAAGAAAATCAACTGCAAAACAGAAGACATTTCAAGAAATAAAAAAATTTCACTCTTGGTCCATCCCATGTGCACAGAAAACTGAAAGCAAGCAAGGGGAAGACAGCGCGCGGCCCCCGGCCAGCGCTCCAGGGGACTGAGGCGCAGCTGCCCGCCGGCTCCCCGGCACGGGAGGGACAGCCATCTCTGGCCACGCTCTGCCCGAAAGGCCACTTTTATCATTTTACTTAGGTACTGCTGTTATAAAAGTAAAATGCATGTAACTTAATTTTTGTGAACCCAATCAACTTAAAATATGAGGAGCTGACTATACAAACTAAAAGCAGCATAAAATTTTTAGCAAAGATGTCTTTATATAAACAGCCCCACTCAAGTCTATAAATCTACATTATTTTTTCACATATTATTTTAAAACCAAAAGTCATCCTTCTCGTGAGAGCTCAACTCTGTATTTACACTTCTGATCAGTAACATATTAGAACTGCTACCACAATTTGTAAGGAAATCTGACTCCCCTCCAAGTCTGACTGACTGCGAGATAAAACCAATGTTAATTGGTTTTTACGTAACTGACAAAACACGACGTGCCTGTATTTTTACCAATGGAAACGCGCGCTGCCGTCACTCTGACCTGCCCCACCCCCACGACTCGGCCCGCGCCCTGTCACGGGCACCCGCTCCCAGTGACCGGGCCGAGAGCAGTGTGTGACGTGCTCGGGTCACGGGGCCGGCAGCGGGGGTCGCTCGGAGGGGGCTTCTCGCCGCGCCACACTCCATCAGGGCCCCCGACTCACAGACGCTGCCCGGGGCTCGGCTGACCGCACAGATGCCGCAGGCAAGCACAGCCATTTCTTTTCTGGGAAACCCGTGGCCGCCCCGGGCCCGCCCTGGCCGCAGGCCCTGCCGACACGAAACCGGGGCCGCCCCAAAGCGCGGGGCTGCTCTGCTCCAGTCCTGAGCCGCCCCACGCGATCCACGACCAAATAGCCGGAATGTGACCAAGGGTAAGGAAGGCCGCACGGGAAAACCGTGTCACATACTGACTCATCTTTACTAGTGGTCCTTACAGCATTTACACCTGTTCAAAAATCCGCAACAGCCTGACAATTCTGAATAGCTCCCCACAAAGAACCCTATTCGAAGGACGGAAGTTGAAGTGGCCCCACATTCTGGTTGCGCACTGTGGGAAGCAGGAAAAAGCCCGAGCCGCGGTGGCGGTGCCTGCAGTCCCAGTGCGGCCCGGCACTGACTCTGTCCTAGTTTTGCTGGGACACACCACTCCTGCTGGTCTCAGAACTGTCTGTATTTTGTGCTAAGGACACAGAGCTGGGTGTGACGAGAAACAGTCTGCACTGTCAAGCCTGATACGCTCCCTGCCCGCGCCTCTGAGGAGCAGGGTGCCGAGCCCCAGTGCGCAGGCCCTGGGGCCCACCCCGCCTGCGCCGCCGCCAGTGCGGACGAGCGCGCACCTTACGCGTGCGAGGCCAGGAGGTGAAAAGGCAGGCTCGGCTGAGGAACGTGGAGAGAGGCTGGGGAGTAACTCGCGGGCTCAGAGGGACCAAAGAGGGGCACGTGGACCGTAAGGCTTGCTGTCAGAAGCCACATATCACTTCTTAGTAACAACGCCCTACCTCTGGCTCTGCTTTCGCCTCGTCTGTGGGTTGACGCCCAGGGCTACCGGGCTTGGCCTTCGCGTCCGTCTTCCCCTGCGTGTTCCTGGGCCCCGGCCCGGGCCTTGTGGGGGGCGACGTGCTGCCGGCCGGCTTTCCGTGGGAGGCGGGTGTGGTGGCACAGCGACCGCTGCTCATCTCCAGGACGTGCGAGGGGGCTATGGGTAACTCGCGCAGGTTGCTGTTCCTGGGAGCGGTCGGCTGCAGCTGCTGCAGCGGCCGCTTGGTGACGCTCTGAGATGTATTCTATCACGACAAGAAAGAAAGTCCAGTTACAACGGGAAACTTGGGAAGAAGACCACAGACAGGCTCGTTATGAGACACAAAGATTTAAAAACTGTTCTACTTAGTAAGTGACGTCTCTTTCAGAGGCCCACACGTGCCCCATTTGTCAACACTTTGTCGGGCGGAAACGTTCCCTGCTCAGTGCAGAAGCCGCCCCCCCCCCCGCCCCCGGCTGTTAAGGACCGGGACCGCTGAGGAGGCACTGCCTACAGACAGACAGGCTGTCACTTGTGGAACGCACACTGGGGGACAACCGGTGGAGCCTGAGTCTGGGGACAGAGCCAACACCGGCACTTGCACAGAGTCAGCAGCAGCACTCTCACTGCGCGCTCCGAATTTACAGCGGAGCACACGTTAGGGTTAGGTCAGCGTCCTTAGAGAAGCAACCAGCTCCCCGCCGGGGAAAGGTGCCACAAGCTCCATCCAAGAGCAAGCGCCTGAGTGTGTCTGTCCTTGGGAGGTCGTCCAGTCCTCGCCCGAGGACATGCTCACTGATTTTTGGGCAAGAGGAAAGGGGCGAGGGGGAGAGACAGAGAGAGGCACAGACCGGTTACCTCCTGCGTGTGCGGGGGTTCCTGACCAGGGATCGAGCTGGCAAACGTCTGGCGTACGGGACGGCGCACCACCTGACTGAGCCACCGGCCAGTGCCACCCCTGGGGTTCTTAACAGAGCCCCAGCTCCCGGGGGTTTACAGACGTGAGGTGGCCGGGGGACTCAGCTCTCAGGTCTCTCACGGGAGTCAGGGTGTGAGGTGACAGGGCCAGGCGTGTGGTCTGCCCCTACTCCAACAAAATGAAACGTGCTCACAAGCCACCGTCTTCCCCGATCTGGAAATCCTTTCTTACTTCTTACATCAGCTTAACCTCAATGTTACTTTAAGAAAGGAAGATGCAGGCGTGAGAAAATTTGAGATTAAAAGTAACTAAGTGACGTGCTTGAAGCTCAAGGTCACAAGAGACAGTACTGAAAGGAAAACTGTCACCTTACAGCCTGGAACTCTAACTATTAAGCGGATTCTTTATAAAAAGGTTATTTCATGGAGAACAAGGCAGTGACAGCGCCTACTGTCTTTCATTTTTAAAGCAACACACCACCCAGTGTGTTCCCGTGCGTGATCAATCCACACCTGCCCACAGTCCCCGCGCATGGCAGCCTCTCAGGTCAGTGTGACAGCGCCCTCCCGACCTGCCCATGGACCGCACGGAGGCAGGCGGCCCACCGCCTCCGCCCACCGCCGCGTCCCTGGGACCGGAGGCGCCCAGCAGCAGAGGACGCTCACCAGCCCCCCGAGCTCCCCCACGGATTCACTCGGAGCCTGAGGGCACGGGGCACCTGGGAGTCAAAGAGCAAGGCACTAGTGCCTGGCCGGGTGGCTCTGTTGGTTAGAGCGTCATCCTGTGCACCGGAAGGTTGTGGGTTCGAGCCCCAGTCCAGGTGCATGTGGGAGGCAACAAATTGATGCTGCTCTTTTTCTCTCCCCTACTCTCTCTAAAAAGCAATAAACAGATCCTCAAGCGAGGATCAAAAAAGCCACTGGCAACGGCCAAGGGGGAGTGACCGTCCCCCAACACTACTTTCTGACATTAGGTGTCTGTTAAATCCTACTGCCGCCACTACAGGGACACAGAGACACACGAAAGCAAGATGCCAAAGGAAACAACATGGACAGCCCTTCAGGCACAAGGGATGCGAGGGATTTCCGTCGTCAAGAAATCGATTTCCTAAGCAGGTTGTAAACATGCAGTTGCTGCAGAACAAAGCACTACATGTGCTTCGTTCATGAAACCAGGGCGGGAAACGGCGCCAGCGCAGGAGCCCTGCCCCGGCAGCTCTGTGACTCGGGGGGCGTCCCTGGCAGAGACTCACGTGCCGCGGCCCCTGGCGCGGGGGGCACTGCGTCCGGCTGCTGCTCGGCTGGGGCGGCGCCGCCTGCATGTGAGGCCGGAACTGAGGCTGCGCCATGGGCATCAGGGGCGGGGGCGGCACGGACAGGTGGTGGTGGTGCTGGTGCTGCTGCGGCTGGTGGGGCGGCGGGTGCTGCGGCTGCGGGGGCGGCGGGTGCTGCGGCGGAGGCTGCAGCGGAGGCTGCTGCTGGGGCTGCGGCGGGGGCTGGTGCGGCGGGGGCAGCGGGGGGTGCAGGGGTCCCTTGGGTGCCGAAAGGAAGAGAAACGAGAGTTCATCAGTGCATACGCTAGTTTCATTCCAACTTAGCCACTCCCTTAAATGCCCCAACCCCAGAAAAAGAGCTTCGGGTGCTGCCGACCACACGCCGGATCTGTCCGTGAAGGCGACACTCTGGGACCTAAACCGCTTCACTCCTGAAGTTCCCAGGCTCGACCCTTGGAGACGAGGGAGCCTCCAGGGTGCCCCGTGCAGCGCTGCCGCCGAGGACATGCGGGACACAGTCACGCTGCAGGAGCAGCCTGTGCGGCAGGTGCGCGCCGCGCAGTGGCACGTGGCTCCCGACCGGCAAGACCGCCACCCCAGGTCACTGCAAGGCCGTGTGGCCAGGGACATGAGACTCCCCGACCGCCAAGGTCGCGACCGCAGGCCACCACCGAGATGCTGCGGCCGGGCGCTCTGGGAAGCCCGAGAAATGAGCACCCACTGTTAGCGGAGCACCCACTGTTAGCGGGGGCTGTTGCAGGGGACAGGCTTATTTAATTTCCTCTTCAAATACACAGCGCTTCTCGAACCGTTCTGCAATGAAGATGCAGTCACTGTATCTTTTGTAATAAAAAGAAAAATAAGGCCCTTTTAGCTTACTTTAACACCCTAAATAACTGTCATTTTCCTCTTCTGACTTCACGTACGCTGCGCATCCCTGACAGCCGACTGGGGCATATCGCCGCCATCACACGGCACACTCCACGCACCGGAGGCGGCGTGCTGGGCCCGGCACAGCCCAGCGCAGAGGGCGCCGCTCACCCCGGGGAGGCGGGGCAGCAGCGCTCCCTCCGTGTGGACACCCCGCCTGCGGCCGGAACGTCGTCTGACAAAGAACTTCCCTTCTCCTGTGAACCTTTTACAACCCGCAGTGATGAGCAAAGGCATTATCATGTCCTGATTAAATTAGTGGCAGAGGCACTAACAAAACTTTAAAATCTTAAATTTTTTTCATTTTCCAAAAACTGACAATCGCCTTTTCCATTTCTCCTGTGATCAAGGAAATAAACAACATTGTACAGAGAGGTGTCTGTAGTCAACGACATGCGTGAGGCCAACGGCCTTACTCTCTAGGGAGCCGACACACCTTGGCGGGTTGGAAAGGAAACGAGAGGCTCGTCCGCGGACGCGTCAGGCTGCAGCGGTAGCACACGCCCCGCCCCGCGCCCGGCCCTGTACCCCCCCCTGCACCCCCCCTCCCCGCGTACCTGCAGGCTCGGCTGCGCGTGGGCAGGCAGGAAGGGCTGGCCGGGGCCCGGCAGGAAGGGCTGCCGCGGCGGCATGAACGGCCGCGCGGCTGCGGCGCCGGGCTGGCTGAAGTGAAGCAGGCCCACGGGGCCCGGGGGCTGCAGGGCGGGCCTCACAGGCCTGTCCCGGGGGAACACGGGCTGCTGTCCCTGCTGGCTGAACGCTGGTCCAGGCTGCGTGAACGGCAGAGGACTGGGTGCGGGCACCGCAGGGTGGCTGCTGTTGATGAGCGTGGGCGGGGGCGGCGGCGGCGGGGGGCTCCGCTGCTCCAGAAAGAGATGACTCGGGAAGCGAGGGTCACCTGAAACTGCAAGGCAGCAGGCCGTCAGCCCCTGGCTGGACAGAGCACGCACCGCTGGGAAGCGGGCAATGCGCAGTCCCCTCAGTGGAAAGCTCCAAGTGGCAGCGGGGCGCGAACGCCTTACAAGGGCCTGGGCCCCCCTCGGCGTCTCTGTGGCTTCCCTGGCCACTTTCCACAGCTGGCTTCCTCCCATGTGGGAGACACTCACACCGCGGATTCCAGGCCCGTCCAGGCCTAGCCCCGGACACGACAGGTGGAAGTGCTGGGTCACAACAGTCGGATATTCCCGACAGAGTCCCCCAGCGGGAGCTGAACACAGTGCGACACAAGCGTGCTCGGGCAGCTTGCCATCCCCGCTGTCCTTCACCCTGAGCCATCGTTTACCTCCTAAGAAGAAGGGGTCCCGCTCCTGGGGAGGGGGCGGCGCTCTCCACTGGTCTTGAAGAGGAAGCCGCGGGGGCTGGCTGAAGTTGTTGGGGACAGGTCCCGGGGTGTGCTGCGGGAACTCCGGAGGGCCCTGTGAGCAGGACGGAGAGACGGTGAGGGGCAGAAAGGCGGCCCGCGCCGTCCCACACCTTCTCCTGAGAGCACCGCGCAACTGGCCTCCCACAGCGCCCCCATGCGTACGAACACACGTCACAAAGCCCATGAAACAGTCAAACATCTCAGTGCAGCACTTAAAAATTAATTCCATGTTGTAATATGTCTACAGCACTCCAAGAATGTTACTGTTAAGCTTACTGAAATCCATGCAACGATCAATCTTCCTGCCCATTAATCTGAAAGAGGAAACATCTACTCTCAAAGTCCCAGATACTCATCTTCTCAAACAGGCTGTTCTTTGCTACCTTGTAACACAACCATTAGCTACAGCTATGAACCTGCTTTACTACAAAAGGAGGAGCCCTGGCTGGTGTGGCTCAGTAGACCGAGCACCAGCCTGCGAACCAAAAGGTCACTGGTTCGATTCCCAGTCGGGGCACAGGCCTGGGTTGATGGCCACGTCCCCAGTTCGAGGTGCTCAAGAGGCAACCGACTGTTTCACACATCAATGTTTCTCTCCCTCTCTTTCTCCTTCCCTCTTCCTCCAAAAGAAAACAAATAAAACATATTAAATAAAATGATTCTCTTACAGCATGCAGTTGGATCTTACTTAAAGAAAAAGAATTTCTACAATAACAAAAATCAACAACCTCTGACAAAACAGAAAAATGTGAAATGTTTAAGAAACCACGTTACTACAAAAGGAGTATTACACAGTTGAAGTCTATTGGATAGAAAAATTATGAACTCTTAGTAACATGTTTTTAGTAACGAAACGTTAGTAGTAAACTCTAGATAAAACTAAAATTATTTCGTTCTTCAGTTGGCCTTTCAAGAATTCAAAGATTTTTAAAAACAAACGTTTCCTTAAGAAAGCCTCAAATTTTTGGAGGCTTATAAAGCCCTCACCATTTTTTCCGTTCTCCAGAAAGAGTTCACTAATTATACACAGCATCAAAATAATTTTTATTTACTAACACCTCATTCTTTCAAACTCAACCATTATTTCTCAACTTTTGAAGACCACACTCCCTTCTCATAAAACTCTGACGCCTTCTCTGTCACTTTATTACTCATACAAGGCGCGGGCCTGCTTGCCAGGACATCACTCAGCAACACCGCCCGTGTCCGCGCGCCGCACCCGCTCTCCTCCTCCACCAGCGCACCCTGCGCGGCGCGGTAAGAACGGCGCAGAATGGACACAGGCGTGTGCAATCCCGGGGGACCCGTGGCTGCGGGGCAGCGAAGACGTTACGTTTGCGCACAAGCGTCACCTCTTCACACAAACGGGCTGAGGCACCTAGGGACACGTGGGCAGGACGGTCCCAGAGGCCACGTGCTTGGAGTCTGTGTGTGTTCCTCCAGGTGAGACCAAGGAAACCCCCCTCAGCCACGGCTGGCAGCAAGGACCGTCACTTCTCACCTCTTGACTGCAGGCATCAATTAACAGGCTACCAAAGCAGTAAACGCCAGGACCCGAGAAGTGGAAGGCGTGTGAGCGGGGCTGCCAGGCGCAGCCGCACTGCGGGAGGACGTTCCGCTCGCTGCCCCTAACAAACGGCACGTTGTCTCACGGCCGCTCAGACGTTCCTGATACCGTGCTTTGACACGGACCGTCTTCACGTTGAATACTGTCGCTATGGTAACACTGTGCCAGAGAAAATACTCCTGGTGGCATGGCTCTCACACCCCGCCCCTTAGCAGGCGTGCATTCGGCGGTCCGGTGAACCAGCCTTCTGTCTGCCCCTGCCACATTCTTCCCTCTGGTTTTAGAACAAGTCTTACTTTTCGTTTGATGTCTATGACCCAGGTCCTGTGCGTTTGTACACGCATTCCACCAGGTAACTGAGACAGAACCTGTGTGTTAACATAGAGGACTTATGTGTAAATTGTAGCACTAGTAACTCTATCTTTAGTTTCATATATCCTTTTTCTCCCATACACATATATTTCAAAACATGTTTTAAAAGCACATTCAAAACTTTGCGATGATAATAAATGAGCAATCAAGGTCCTGTTATTATTTCAAAAAAATGTTTAAACCATTCTTCTTGGAGTGGCAGGGAAAATAAAGTTAAAATCACCCGCCCTCCGGTCTGCAGCAGGTCTGACCGGCCACCCAGCCTCCAAACACGCACCCTGACCACGAGGCGGTAGCGCGCACCCACAGCCACACCCCGCCCAGGAACAGCTGTTCCAGGCGCTGTCCGTGGACCCTCGGCTGCCCCTCTTCTGGGGGACAGGACAGCAGGACAGAGAGTCAAACTGAAGTAACTCGCAGTGAGCAATGCAAACCCACAGACCAAAAGCACGCCCGGGACGCTGGGAGGGCCCGCACCGCAGCCTGAACCAGCTGCTGGTGCAGAAGGTCCAAGAATCACGGAAATGCCCATCTGGTAAAAATAGGTACTTTTCATGAGCTTTTAGCTTACAAATTAGTAAAGGGAAACACCTCTCTGAGGACGAGGGGCAGCGGAACTCCCAGCCTTCAAGCCGCAGCAAGGACCGCTCTTAGGCCTGGCCATTCATGAGCAGACAGCGCGAGGCCGCTCGCGAGGCCGCTCGCGAGGCCGCTCACGAGGCCCCTCCCACGGCCCGGGCAGCAGCCGGCAGAGCTTCAGGCCCGGCCCGCTCCCGGAAGCGCTGGGTCTGCCCCTCCATGGCCCCGGAATCGCACAGCAAGCTGGGAGGCCGCTTTGCTGCCACACCTGGTCGGACTTCTCGCTCCGAGACAGGAGCGCCGCCGGGCCGCAGGCGCCAGGTGCCAGGCTGCTGTGTCTCCGCGGGTCACACCCGGGCAGCACGCCCTGGTCTCGCTCAGTTAGAGGACGCCCACTAGAGGCACCTGGCCCTCTGTCTGGACCGAGGAGTGTGGGTCTCGCCGTGACTCAACACACCAAGCCCCGCTCGCCACGCCCGCCACTGCTCCTCAACCCCGTGCCCACATCTTCCTGCGGCAGCCTCGCGACCGCCCGGCAGGCCCCTGCCTGGCCCTCCACCCAAGGGCGGACAGCTCGGAGGCACCACCCCTTCCTGCCCTGCACCCCCAGCCCCCCGCCCCAGGCTCTGCCACCCCCGCCCATGGGCTCAGCCCACACTGCTGCCGTGAACTGCTGAAGGGGCTCGGCCACACCTGCGACAGCCCCGTGGGGTGGACACGCTGCTCAGTGCCACCTCCGACGCAGCGGCGCCCCTCAGGCTCAGCCCGAGGTCAGGGCGCAGCAGGGCCGGGGCTCCACCGGGCACCCCGTGCCAGGATCACCACACCCTCGACTGCTTGCCGTTCGCGGCCAGGGCAGAAGGGCACCCTCGCCCGTCTGTGCTGCCGTCTGAGAACCCCGGATGCCGGCCGGGCTGGGGCTGGGAACGAGGAGCTCTCACCTGGTCAATCTACGCGAGGCCACCGGGGGGCAGGCTCAGCGGCACCATGGCCAGCGGTGCCGCAGGGCCACTGGCAGCGGGCCGGAGAAAGGGCAGGCGCAAGACCAGGGGGCGACCGCCGGGCGGACAGTAGGCCCATCGCAGCCCCGGCGCCTCCCGGGAAGACGGGACGAGAGCCCGGATGTTGAAGCAACAGTGAACGTTTTATGCTCTAAGACCCTAAAGGCGGCCCCTGGACAGCCTCAGCGTCGCCTTTTCACACCAGAAGAAACACCCGCCGCGGTGTAGCGCCCCCCACCGCCGGGCCAGCTGCGCCCGAACGCCGCCACCCCTTCCTCCGCACAGTCCGCGCGCCGCCTCGTGGACAGGCCCCCCCACGCCCATCTGAAAGCCGCAACTCGCGGCTGCAGCAGCGCCTCGGGACCGGCCTGGCCACCCAGGCGAGCTGGCGAGCGGACAGGACTCTGGGACGGGATGCCTCGCCCACCCCCTCCTGCCCCCCCGGGGAGTGGGGAGAAAGGCGGGGTCCCCGGCAGCGCCAGAGTGGCCGTGCCAGCCCAGAACCCTCTCCTTTTGATGCCAGAACCACGGAGCCCAGTGCCTGGCGGCACCGTCCGCCGCGGTTCCTGCGACACGCCGTCTCACACACCCTGCCTGACCAGCGCCAGCACAGCAGCGTGGCTCCCCCGGGGACAGTGGCACACACAGGCCCCACAGGCAGCTCTGTCCCGACGGGGCGACCAGGCTGCGGGTCACGGGGCGAGAGCAGACTCTGCAGCGTTACATGGCCAGCACGCAGCTCAAGGCACGGACCGCGCACCCCGACTCCAGAGGATCGAGTGCTCCTGCTTCGGTCGCCGTCTTCTGCCGGGACCAACCTGTCTTCACGCGACGCTGAAGACACCACAATCGCCGGCCTGACCCTCCCGGCCAAAGAGGTCCTCTCAGGGGGACTGTTCCCTGTGCCTTCCATCCTTTCAAGGGGCTAAAGGACACACACCACCATCCCCTCAGTCAGCTGCAGAATTAGCTTAAGGCCGTTGGTGCATTATGAACACCTCCCTAACAGAACTCCCAGTATTAATGTGATTCTGCCTTTTGTAAGAAAAGGCCACTTTAATCCTTTCAAATAATTGCTGTTTTGCTTTTTTTTTATATCTCTTTGAAAATCCAAGGTAAGAAATTATCGTCCTCTTTCACATAATTCTGATACAAATTGTACCTCCACTTTTTTGCATCTCTTGCTAATTACATGATGTTATCTACACTAATCCTATTCAGGAAGAACTGATAACTCCCTTCACAAAAAAAAAGATAGAAACTTTGCATAAATTGCTTAGCACAAAGTTAATCATATAATGCAAAGAATAAAGAGGCTCTAACAGCTATTATATGACTTAACAGCTTCCCTAAAAAGGGTCAGTTGGTCTTTTTAATAAGACTAATTAAATACCTTAACAGTATCATTGAAGCTTCATGAATCTTTCAATAAATTACAACCTTCCTCTACATGTTTTCATTTCTTAATCTCACTTAAAATGCAAAGAACTATATAAGAAACCACAGACACTTGAGAAGGCCTCTCGATTAATT